AATAATAGAGCGCTCACGCATGTATATAAATTAACTGACATGTGGGTGGAGCAGTTCCGTTGAATGTGAAACACAGTTGAAGATATACATTCAAATTGTTACATAAATTAGAATATAAGTGTGAAATATAAATAGTTCTGTTCAAGTATTTTAGTATAAATAAATTAATTAGTATTTAGTGTAAATAAACTGTTTTAAACAAATAAACATTATACAATAACTTTCACTATCAACTAATTCGCATTCCATTCAAACTTAAGATACTAACCTGATACGTTTGCAGACACCATATCCGACAAATTGTCATTTTGGTCCTCATTTTCCAGTTCGATACTGCTGTCCACTGAATGATTGCTAGCCGCTTCTGATATTGCCTCCAGATTATCAGACGTATTGCCAATGGATCCCTCGTCGTGGTACGTGAAACTCTGCTTCAAATCGCCATTTTGTGGCGGCGTTTCCGGCATGGAATCCACCTCCACTTTCTGGGCGTCGCCTTCAAAGCCGTTGCAATTTTTTACCAGTACCGCACTGGCCGCTATGATTTTCTCCTCCGAGATTAGCCCAATAGGGTCTGAGTGCGCTTGGTCTATCGGAAATACTAGAACTACGTTATGGGTGGCGAAATTTTTGGCTGTTGAGTCGGTAATCGATGTAGCGGAAGAGTGATTTTTGGTACCTAAAATGTAATATTTTGTACAGGTTTAATCGATGGGTGACAATTTATTATTTCTTACCTAGAGCAAAAAAATTGGACAATTTAGAAACGTTTTCGTCATTGTTCAATGAACGATTGGATTTAGGGGAATTATCGCAAGATATGTTCAAAGAAGCCAGTTGCTCTTCTATCGATAAATCTTTGACGAAATTATCGTTGATCTTCTGTCTGACTTGGATTTTTTGCAATATAGACACCTACAAAATCGTTTATTTGATTTAATTTCGATTATTATTGGAAAAACGTTAATCAATTTAGGCGATTTAACTACTTCCAACATAAGAAAAGAAACATTGTTAAAATCAGGCGATTGTGATGATTAATTGCTTGGAAATCTACAGGTAATTTATATTTTAAAACATATAAATAATAAAAAAAAAGCCCCAGACCGCATTGTAAATTGAACTGGCTTTTAGCTTGTTCGCCAGGTGCATTGTCACCTCATCACACCACAGAGACTTGTCAGAATTAAACAAGTGGGTGGGCTTTGAAGAACCTTTCCAAAAGAGAGTAATTATTGGTAATATCTGATAGTCCAATCAAATAGACCTTTAGATCAAAATTTTGGAGGAAATACAGGAATTTTTGATATAAGTCACTATAGGGTATTTGAAAACGATATTTAAAAAAAATGTTTTTTCAGGCACCGGCAAATGTCAAAAAACAAGAAAATAAAGTGTTTTTAAAGGTTATTTAAAAACGGTAGGTGCTATAAAAAAAAGTTCTTAATAAAAATTGTAAAGCATAAAGTTTTACATAAAAATTATATTTGACATTTTTTGCTATTATTAAAGCTGACAGAGTTAGGGTGGTTAGCAATTAAGAGGAGATATATATGACTTGGAAAAATCATAACGAGCTGAAAATTCAATGATTTTGTAGTTTCTTTTTGTTATTTACTCAGAAAATTAAAAAATTTCTTTTAGGAAAAATTATATATTTTTTTTTAAGTTATAACAATTTTAATTTAGAAAATTTTAATATATTATACGAATTTATATGGTAAAATAAATTTTGAAGTAAACTTATTAGCTTGACATGAAAAATATGAGGAGTGAATTAATAAAAACGACATCCCGACAGTTTGGTCCCCACTTGAAGTTCCATTAAATAAACAAAAATTAAAAAAATTAAAATTAAAAAAATAAAGATAAAAAATTAAACAAAACTGAATAAAAAGATAAAAGTAAAATAAAATAAATAAAAATAAATACAAATAAATAAAATATAAATGAAAATAAATAAAAGTAATTAAAAATTAAAAAACTAATTAAAAAATAAACAAAAAAATTAAAATAAACACAATTTTATTAAATAATAACAAATAGTTAAAAACATTAAATTAAAAAAAGTAAATTATTAAAAATAAAAAATAATAAAAAATAAATAAAATTAAACAAAAATAAATAAAAAGATAAGTGTAAAAGAAAATAAATAAAAATAAATATAAATAAATAAAAATAAATGAAAATAAATAAAAATATGTTAAAATATGTTAAAATATGTTAAAATATGTTAAAATATGTTAAAATATGTTAAAATATGTTAAAATATGTTAAAATATGTTAAAATATGTTAAAATATGTTAAAATATGTTAAAATATGTTAAAATATGTTAAAATATGTTAAAATATGTTAAAATATGTTAAAATATGTTAAAATATGTTAAAATATGTTAAAATATGTTAAAATATGTTAAAATATGTTAAAATATGTTAAAATATGTTAAAATATGTTAAAATATGTTAAAATATGTTAAAATATGTTAAAATATGTTAAAATATGTTAAAATATGTTAAAATATGTTAAAATATGTTAAAATATGTTAAAATATGTTAAAATATGTTAAAATATGTTAAAATATGTTAAAATATGTTAAAATATATGAAAATAAATAAAAAAAAAAACATAATTAAAAAAATTAATAAAAATAATTACAAATAGTTAAAAAAATTAAATACAGATAGGTAATTTATTAAAAATAGAAATTAAACAAAAATAAATAAAAATAAATGTTTTTTGTTTACTTTTATATATTTTAACTTATTTTTGTTTATTTTTATTTATTTTATATATTTTAACATATTTTTGTTTATTTTTATTTATTTTTATTTATTTTTATTTATTTTTATTTATTTTTATTTATTTTTATTTATTTTTATTTATTTTTATTTATTTTTATTTATTTTTATTTATTTTATTTATTTTTATTTATTTTTATTTATTTTTATTTATTTTTATTTATTTTTATTTATTTTTATTTATTTTTATTTATTTTTATTTATTTTTATTTATTTTTATTTATTTTTATTTATTTTTATTTATTTTTATTTATTTTTATTTATTTTTATTTATTTTTATTTATTTTTATTTATTTTATTTATTTTTATTTATTTTTATTTATTTTTATTTATTTTTATTTATTTTTATTTATTTTTATTTATTTTTATTTATTTTTATTTATTTTTATTTATTTTTATTTATTTTTATTTATTTTTATTTATTTTTATTTATTTTTATTTATTTTTATTTATTTTTATTTATTGTTATTTATTTTTATTTATTTTTATTTATTTTTATTTATTTTTATTTATTTTTATTTATTTTTATTTATTTTTATTTATTTTTATTTATTTTTATTTATTTTTATTTATTTTTATTTATTTTTATTTATTTTTATTTATTTTTATTTATTTTTATTTATTTTTATTTATTTTTATTTATTTTATTTATTTTTATTTATTTTTATTTATTTTTATTTATTTTTATTTATTTTTATTTATTTTTATTTATTTTTATTTATTTTTATTTATTTTTATTTATTTTTATTTATTTTTATTTATTTTTATTTATTTTTATTTATTTTTATTTATTTTTATTTATTTTTATTTATTTTTATTTATTTTTATTTTCATTTTTATTTTTTTTAATATTTTAATTTAGTTCTTTATTGTTTTTTTTTTTATTTATTTAATGGAACTTCAAGTGGGGACCAAACTATCGGGATGTCGTTTTTATTAGTTCATTACTCATTTTTCATGTCAGGCATGCTAATAAGTTTACTTCAAAATTTATTTTACTACATAAATTCGTATAATATATTGAAATTTTCTGAATTAAAATTGTTATAACTTAAAAAAACAAAAAAAAATAATTTTTCGAAATAGTTATTTACGTAACAAGTCCCCGAAAGTGATATTTTACGGGGATGAGTAGGCAGTTTCCAGGGCGAGCCGTAGGCGAGTCCTGGAAGCCTGCGAGTCCCGTAAAATCACTTTTGGGTAGCGTTACGTACAATATATTTTTTCTGCAGCCGTTTATTAGATAAAAATATTAAAAAAATAATAGGGATAGATACTATAAATATTACTTATGAACATTAAATGTACAATTATAACAATTACTTATATTAATAGTATTAGGAATATTAGCAGAAATGGCTGTGTTGAAATTAGTATTAGACGTTGCAGTACTTTGTACTAGCTTCTTCAAGATATTAATTTTTATCTATCTTGCCATTTTTGGAATAAATTATAGACCATTTCATACCTCTCTCTTGACTTTACTGGCAACAATTCATAAGTAGCGACTTTAGCAGCTTCACTGATTTCATGTGGAATAATCATTTCCTCGTCACTTTCGTTGTCGATTTCCATTTCTGGATCGGGAAAATTGAAAATACAGTGGAAACTATTAACAAATTTAGTTTGACAAGCGATGTCATAATAAAAATTAGGCATTCCAAACTGAATGGTTACCAGTGGGTTCTGACGGGTTATGATATGGCAAAATTATGGCAACCCTGTAGGCCTGGTGATTTGACAAGGGTCAATGAAATTAAGATAGTTACATAGATTGATCATCCATATTTTTCAAAATAAACATAAGCTTGTGCCTTGAAGTAAAAATGTAAGCAATTATTTTTTTTTTTTAATATCTAAAGGCTAAAAATTGGTTTTAAAACACATTTTTGCTAAACCGATTCAAATTAATAAATATTTGCCAGGCAATATGGCCGCTCGTAAACGACCAGCTTTGAGCAATCTATATAACTGTATATATGTATCATTGACCCTGTTAATGACAACATGACAACAGGGTTGCCATATCTAAACTGTCATTACCCACTGGTAGCCATTTGGACAGGGTCGTTGGAATGCCTAATTCCGTAAATGTCATTGCTAAGGCCGCCTACATAGATATTGAAAATTATTCCGAAAGTAAAAAAATCGTCCCGAAAGTAAAAAAAATCATTCCGAAAATAGCTACTTTCGGCACGATTTGTGTAAAGTTTCACTTTCGATTTAATAAATCATACCGAAAGTTCTATTTTCGGGACGGCTGCAGAAAAAAGAAATTTATAATTGAATTTTCAGATCGTTATGATTTTTCCAAGTCATATATATCTCCTCTTAATTTCTAACCACCCTAACCTGTCAGTTTTAATATTAGCAAAAATGTCAAATATCATTTTTATGTAAACCTTTATGCTTCACAAATTTTATTAAGAACTTTTTTTATAGCACCTAACGTTTTTAAATAACCTTAAAAAACACTTTATTTTCTTCTTTATTGACATTTGCCGGTGCCTGGAAAAAAAATTTTTTTTACATATCGTTTTCAAATACTCTAAAGTATCAAAAATTCCTGTATTTCCTCCAAAATTTTGATTCAAAGGTCTATTTGATTGGACTATTGGCAGTAGCATATGTAGCTGGTTTATACACTTCCTTTGAATGTGTATATCTTATTTACATTGTGACATGCTACATCTGTTTTTCAGCTGAGCTACGACAAGAACTTCTCAAATTATGAATAAAAGTTTGAAATCATAAATATAACGTATCACTTTATTTAAATGAACAAACTGGTTTAAAATATTACAATTGGAGAATGCCTTTTTTATGTCAGAAAATATGGTTGAAGGCAACAGGATCTGTTAACTCACCCACTAAGGCTGTGTGAAGATTTGAAGAAAGAGATAATGAATGTTTTAACGTAAAATGCCTTTGCAAACGCCGATATTAGAAATTTTAAACATGCCCTTCAACCAATTTTTTTTGAGTCGATGTTTTATATCTCCTTTTTTGTAGTGGAGTGTATGTTAAAATCTAATTGCAATAAAACACCGCTTCTTTTTACTGAGTATAATGCTCTCATATGAATAACAGAAGTGGATTATATGAACACCTATTTT